CTTTAATTTTGTCTCAAACAAAAAAATAAAAAATTATACTTTAAAAATGATTAAATTACTTTTAAGTAATGACCCATTGGTCCCACCACCGATTCATCGGTCCAACCAATAACCCAATGATCCAGTACCTTGACTGGGTCGATGTTCAAGTCGAGTATGATAACTATGACCACAAGTGATCATGATGCACCTCCTTCAATGATCATAACGATAATTTTGTAGGTAATGTTAGGAATCCCCGATCGTGATTTAGTTGCTAAATGAAGTTATTAGTACCATCGATGAATTGCGCTTGTTTGATGTTGCCGAAATGATAAAATCAAATTTTGGTTTTTCAATGTGGGTCGAAAGTGCATTGAATATTTGACAATATAAGTTGTTTCCCGCAACATGTCTCACCAATAGTGTAACTGATTTCATTTTCCCCAATTAAATTATAGATTCACTCAAGCGATTGACTGAGGGTGTTTGCAATGAAAATAGGCCATTAGGTTGTTATAAAAAATTCTCCATGTTTTATGCCGATGCCCATATATGGGTGTACTGGTAGGAAATATGTTACCGTTTCACTAGTTGTGACTTGTGAGTGTTGCAAAATGTATAAATAAAAAGTAGAGTTTAATCAATTTATAATTAATTATAAATTTTGTTAAACACGCACTAACTTGTAAATGCGACAGGGCCATATTTTGGATAACTGATTTTATTTTCAGAAAAGCAAATTTTGTTACTAATTTTTTATTTTCAAAAAACAAATGCAAAATATGTAACTTAAAATTGAGCCCTAAGAGATTATTTTTTGGAATATTGATTTTTTGGTGACGAATTTTTAATTTATGTGATCAAAATGAGTTTTCAAAAGAATGTACCCCATGGGCCAAAGTAAGTCTAAGAGTCTGTTTGGTTTCAATTAAAATCTAATTTTTAATCTAAATTGGTCCCAATTTTTTTTAAATTTTAATGTTTGAAATAATATTTTTTTAAAGAATGTGTAATTGAAAAAGAATATTTTTTTACGCTTAATATTATTTTATGAAAAATTGTATGCTTGAAAATAAGAGAGGAAAAAAGAAAGAGAATGGGGCTAAATGAAAGCTAAAGTCAAATAATCAAGATTAATAAAATCTTTTATATATCTCACAACTTTCTAATAATAAATTTCAAAAATTTATATTAAAATCTACTAAATTTTTTAATTTTAATCCCTCAATAGACACGCTCTAAGTTTAGAGGGTGTTTGTGAGTCATTTTTATGTAAAAATACATTTTGAAATAGTAAAGTGATGAGAAATGTGTTGTTCAAAAATAAGAATAAATTTTTGATTTACGTGTAATATTATTTTAATAAAGAATGTGTGGTAAAAAAAAGAAAGAAAAATACATTTAGAAAAAAATAGATACCAAACGGGGTCTTACATATTTCAAGCGCAGCCAAACATCTCTCCATATAAAATGTATGTGACAAACCAACAAAGATGAAAACCATAAACCCTGGAGATTGCTTCACTGAGTCTGAAGCCAGTTTTTTCGACATAAACCAATACCAAAAATCATGCACAATTAAGATTTCATCGCTCCGTCTACTCATCTCAGATCAAAAAATTTCAATGGCATCCATAAATTATTATTCATTTGCGTCATTCCTTTTAATTATACTCACCTGCAATTTTTCTCTAGCGATTGCTGATTCTATTCAAGGATGTGGCGGATTTGTCGAGGTAGTGACTAAATACAGAAAGCAATTTCTTTTTATGTTCTAATGGGATTGAGATTTAATGGATCTTTGTATAATTCATCTGATTTTTGAGCGTAATCCATGGTTAGTGGGGTTAGTCTTACTTTTAGATTTCACTCTTCGGTTAACGCGGAAGAAATATATTTTTGATTTTGTAGGCAAGTTCCTCGCTGATAAAATCAAGGAAGTCAACTTCAACGAAATTGGATTATTCTCATATTACGGTATGAGAACTGGGTTTCATCTAGATTTTTCTACCCAAGAGCAGATTTGATTTGTTTATATATTTTTTTGGGCATGATTAAGAATAAGGATACTGAGATTCTGTGCAGGTCGAGCTTCGGACTTTGGATGGTTTAGTTAAGGACAGCACCCAATGTGCTCCAAATGGTTACTACTTCATTCCAGTTTATGACAAGGTACTTTATTCGATACATTCGCTTGCAATGCAGTGATTTTAGCTCTATAAATATTCATTTGAACTGGTGCAACAAACGGCCCCAACCTTTTGCATTGCCCAAGGCATCATCAATTCAGGTTGAGCAATATAAAGCTCGACTCTACTCTTTACCAGCTGTTATCAATTTTTTTATTTTTAATCGGAGTTAACGCTTCATTACTGAAGCTTTACAAGTCACGAGATTTTCAATGCATGGTGGTCAGAAAAGGAAAAAAGGAAAGGAAAAGATCTCTGTAGCATCAAGAGTAGGATGGTCCTTGTTGTAATGTCAGTCATTCTAGCAGAGAAAACTATGTTTGCAAGCTTTAATTATCATTTAATGCGGAATAGCATAATTCAATGTGTTGATAGAGTATTCGAATAGCTTTGTCAAATTGGAAGAGTGGTTGAAAGCTGAGCAGAAATAACTGATTTTGAACAATCAACTCAATTTTTTGCGGATCCATTTGCTAATCGTAAAGTTCAAGTAGTTAATTACTTCCTGATTGTGTTGGGACTTGACTGTAAGGAAACAAATACCAGCTGTACTTAGATGCAATTGCCTTTCAGTGGCTTGTTTCATTTTCTCTAACAAACAATTCTATTTTTCTCCCAGTTTTAGCACATGATTTCATTCTTGGGTGCAGGGTTCGTTTGTGATTAAGATCAAGGGACCTGAGGGATGGTCATGGGACCCAGAACAAGTTGAGTATCTTGATAAATAGTTTGTAATATATTTCTTTTGAAGGATAACTCTGTTTATGTTTTTAAGCAAGCAAGTTAGTTTTGTATTTGTTGGTCGTTTGGTATATCTGCACATATCCTGACATTAGAAACTTCTTTCTTTAGGTTCCTGTCGTTATTGGTCACACTGGTTGCAATGCAAATGAAGATATAAATTTTCGGTTTACTGGGTATGTAACAAATGTTTATAGATTATCAATATCATTCTGTAGCTGCATTGTATCATTTTTCCTGTTTTGCTGTTGGCGCCATCATCACTTCCTGCAATATAATTATTGCTGTTCTAGCATATGCATTTCTGAACCATGGACTTGTGGGTTCTCAACATCTATTATAGAACTGTAGCTTCATTGAGTGATTACTTGCAGGTTCACCATAGCTGGAAGAGTTGTGGGAGCAGTTGGTGGAGATAGCTGTTCTCATAAAAATGGAGGTCCAGCTAATGTAAATGTCGAGCTATTGTCTCCAAGTGGAGATGTTGTGTCTTCAGCTTTAACAACATCAACAGGGAGTTACTCATTCACAAACATCATTCCAGGTATCTGGTTACTCTTTTAATGGTGCATTTTAGCATGAGTAACATATGCAAGAACTTCTAAACCATTATTGAATTTTTACTCTTCATAATTGTGTATAAGAGCATCTTCAAAAAACTCTCTATTTATAAAGAGGATTTTATGTATAATAAAGAGCATCTCTAAATTAAGAGCACTCCAATAATGCTCTCTATTTTGACTCTTTGTCCTTGTTTGGTGGAAATAAAAATAAGATTTTCAGTAGATTTTGATAAAAATTTATGAAATGTGTGGTTGAAAAGTTGTGGATCCTACGAAATATGTGATTAAAATTAATTGTTGACTTTGATCTAGATTAAAATCTAAATTTTAATTTCTACTAAACATGAGCTTTATTTTGCTTTTTCTATAAACATTTATCGCTTTCCTGTCATTTTTTAGTTACATATTTTTCTTCGAAAATGTCAGTGGTCAGTCAATTCAAATGGTTTGAATAATTTGAGAAGTAGAGATATTGAATCATTATATAATAACAATAGAGAGTAGCCACTCTTTATATTAAAAAATTAAAATAGAGCCTCTTGGAGCTTATTTTTATGAATTATATCTTGTATTTAGGGAATCTCTTGGAGATGCTCTAAATACTAAATTCAATATGATGATGGAATCTTGAAGTGTATCAGGAGGAAAGTAACACCTATTTTTTTAGTTCAAATCAAATTAGAAGTTTCTCTGCCCAATTCTGATTTGATTTCTTAACACTTCTTGCAACTTTTAGAGATGTTCATTTTATTAACAATATCTATTTCTGGAAATAGGAAAATACAAAATACACGCTTCTCATAGTGATTTGAAGATTGAGATTAAGGGTTCTACTGAGGTAACAACATGCATCCCCTTTTGCTAACACACAAGCTTAAAGATTTTTCTCTCTTATTGTTTTACTACAAAACTATTGATCGTACCATAATGTTTAGTTCGTAAACCTCTGTCCCAAGGCCTTTCTCATTCAGTAAAAATATTTAATTTATTAGCATTCATTTCTTGTAACATTGCCACTTAGTACATACTATATTTGCAGGTGGAATTAGGGTTTGAAAATGGTGTGGTTCAAGATATTTTCTTTGTTTCTGGCTATGATATTCACGGATTTGTGGTTGCTCAGGTACATTTTCGGCAATGTCTTGGTGTGTTTTTCTTTCATTCCTCTTTCTTCTTTCGGCTTTTAGCAGCAAATATTTTGATATAGCTTATTATGTGTTTGAGTGCATATAAGGAGTTTTTTTTTTTTTGCACTTCCAAACATGCTTTAATGCTGTTCAGATTGATTGTGTTAAAAATCAACTGGTGGTAGCTTTACATCTACAATTATTATTTCTCTAATCATTTGCTTTCTTTGCCACTGTGTATGTTATTTTGTGTCCACTAATAATTTTTTTCTGAATGATGCATATATTTTTCATTGTAGTTGGTGGTCATTACATGTTTTCAAGGATCACTTATTTCCTACAGAGGCATAAAATTTTTGTTTGCTGCTTTATTGGGCTGATGTTTCTGCTTTTTATTTTTTTTTTTACAAAATAATAAAAATCTGCCAGCTGTTATTATCTTTGTCGAAACATTCACCTATTATTCAGCAAATGAGAGAGTGTAGTATTGAAGCTTAGTTTCTTGTAAAGATTCTAATTTTCTGAAACTTTGTTGCTGTTTAATTAAAAAAGCATCCATTGCTGACAGAGTCCAGGCTAGCTTATACTGCATGAAGTATCAAGTTGCATCCTTTTTTTGAATTTGTGAGATGTGAAATTAAGTAATATGGCGATTTGGTTGTGGTCATCAGTGCCCCCAAGTCTCCAAGGTATCATTTTGATTATGCTGTTATACTATTTGATAATGAGTAAACCTCTTGTCAATGATAGGGCAATCCCATATTGGGAGTTCATATTTACTTGTACTCAGAAGATGTCTTAGAGGTGAATTGCCCCCATGACTCTGGTAATGCACCTGGACTAGGAAAAGCACTTTGTCATGCTGTCTCTGATGCTGATGGGATGTTCACGTTTAAATCAATACCTTGTGGTACTTCTCTATTTATTACTGAACACTGATGGTTTTTGTTGGTTTGTTATATTTCCTTCAGATTGCAGTTGTCTTATGTGGTTCTTTTGTTTTATAACCCAAATTTTGGTCCATTAACCCATATCTAGTTTCAAACTTTTTCCATGTCTTACTCTGTGTCTGATTCAATACAATTTGATTGAATTCTTGCATAGGCTTGATTTTCACCCCTTGCATGATCTTGATCTGGGAAATGTACTCCTGTTTGTTTCTTTTTTTTATCTTTAGATACTAAAGCAGTCGTTGCTCATCTAAATAGCATTCTTTTTCAGTTATTATCTAAATAGTTTTATTTCCCCTCTCCTCTGAGTCTGAGATTTGGCTCACCTACTCTCCGGAATGGGGTTTCCAGATGTTGACAGTTTATATTTGTCATTTGAAGTTACAACATGGATTGCTATCCTTATTTATCTTCGGCTTGCTGCTTAAACACATGAACTGATTGGTCTCCAATGTATCAAGAAAGCAAATGAATCTCCCCCTTCCAAACGCTGTATCTATGTTATTTGGTTAGCTTTTTCATGACATACTGAAATTTGTTCAAAATATCTGCTCTGCTGGAATGCATGAGAAAAGACCACTATTTTTTTCTTCTGACAATCCATTAAATCTTTTGAAAGCTTAGTGATTGATTTGGTGAAATACCTGCAGGGATCTACAAACTTGTACCTTTCTACAAGGGCGATAACACGGTTTTTGACGTTTCACCTCCTTCCATGATGGTGTCTCTCTCGCACAATCACTCTATAGTCCCTCAGAAGTTTCAGGTAAAGTAATGATGGTTTATCTATCTATAAATCGGAAAGTTTCTCCCAAACGGGTTATACATTTATGGATATGTTCCCTAAACATTTCAAAACATGCTTCTTGCTTCCTGTTATATATATACCTTTTGTGTGTGTGTGTGTGTGTGTGTTAAGGGCTGGGACTATTTTAATTTGTAATCAACTCTAATCTAAACCCACTTGCAGTGGACAATTGTTGTTTTTGGATACTGATCACAGTGAAGGCAGTTTTCTTAATGTCTGTAAGGATACTTGCCTTCAGTAATTGCTCTGTGTTTTTCAGCAAAATATGGTCTTAGTTAATTTTTCATCATGTGAAATTTTTAGTAGTCTTTATTCATGATCTTCTTGCTTCTGTTACTAAATACTTGCTTCCAAAGATATCTGCTAGTTTTTCTTTGCATTAGAACTGACATTGACTTTGCCCTCATGTTCCATGAACATGAACTACTATGGCGTGTACCTATCAAAAAAATCACTATGGCGTGCAAGTTGTAACCATGTTTGTGTTGCCAATAGGGTCAGTGATATGTAATGTATCTGATTGATTTCTTCTTTCCAAGACTAACATTATTTTTGCTGCAAATCATAAAATTGATGTATTTTAATTAATATGATATTCTCTCTTAGTTCAAGGAGCTGCATCGAAGAAAAGAAAGACTGCCTAGTTTTTTCTGCAGAACAATTACTTATGTTGGCCTTTTGTTGGAATGTTAGCTCCCGCTTCCCTGTTTTCTTTTTTCTACATTTTCCCTTTTCCCCTTTCTTAAGCTATTGTGTTATTATACTCTCTGCATCTATTGAAAGATCACTTTATGATTTGCTTAAGCTTCTGTCTATGCAAGTAACATTTTTCACAGGCTCATGCATTATTATACTCAGACAAATAAATTACCGAATGGATATTACCTTATTTATCCTAGTTCCGTAGCTTGACAGTACTCATGCTGTGTTTTTGGAACATCAATTCTGACTAAATTCGGGTATACTACTCTACAATGTATGCCACTTTATTGTTACCTAGGTTACTGGATTCTCTGTTGGGGGTCGTGTAGTCGATGGAAATGGTGATGGAGTGGATGCTGCAAAAATTATAGTAGATGGTCAGGAAAGGTCAATAACCGATAAAGAAGGATATTACAAACTTGATCAGGTAAGTTTGTCTTTCTGCTTATAAGAGCAACATAATGTTTCAGTTAGCCCTATCTTCTACTCAAAAAGGTTGTCTAATCGGCAATTTCTACCTCTTAAAAATTGTGTTTGTTTTTTATTGTTATTTTTGTTATTACTAGCACTTCCCAATTTATTGTCCAATTTGGTTATGAAATGGTTAATGTTGTTCCTCTTTGTATTTATATGCGTTATGCCCATTAGTTATTGCTTAATCAGTGAAAAAAAAATACTGACCATCATGCCATCGAAGTCCATTTCCTTGTTATTTTAAGAGCTTGATTAATTATGGTTTCAGTAGAGAGAGAGATTAAAATAGGCATGCATTTTAAAGAACACTAACCATCATGCTATAGAAATCCTTTTCCTTGATTTTTAAGAGCTTGAATAAATTTTGGCTGCGGTAGAGTTAAAGGTGCTCTATTCCAATTCTTCCTAGCTCAGCATCGTGCATAATATCTTTCTGTTGGGCAAATTTGTTTTACATACTAGTATGCAACCATGTTGATTCAGTTTTCCTTTTACGGGGTTAATTGGTTAATGCTTCCAGGTTACGTCTAAAAGATACAGGATTGAAGCTAAGAAGGAGCATTATAAGCTTGAAATTCTGAATGACTTTTTGGTAAGTCGATCTCATGTCTTTTACCTTGCCATATCTTGGTACATTTATCATTCTCTTGGGAAATTAAATGGACTATAATGTGACAAATATTTTAGTTCGAATACTTGATCTCCTTCTGATTTTAATAAGCTTCCCTTTGACCTTCTTTGTCTTTGGTCCTCTAATTTCTAATTAAATTCTTAGGTTTTGCCGAACATGGCTTCAATTTCTGATATAAAAGCAGTTTCATATGACATATGCGGCATGGTGCAGACAATTAGAAATGACTACAGGGCTAAGGTAATAGCCATATTTCTCTGCACGTATTTTGAACATGTTACTTATTCATATTAATAGTAGTAGCTAGTAACCTTTGAGGACTTGATGAGACCAACTCTCGTTTTTTGGACCAACATAGGATATCCTAAAAGTGGCTTAAAATTATCTCAACTGAGAACATTTCCCATAATAAGATCAGTCAACAATACCTTATACGTGCTCATGTTTATGATAGTAACCTTCTACTTTTCTCTGTCCTTTTCCGTTTGATAATGGTTTGTGATTGGTCATTTTTTTCAATGTTCATTGTCTGTAGCTTATTAGAAATGGATTTGACGTCATTCAATTAGACACTTTGGTAGTTGGGGAAGGCAGTAGGTGGTGACCTTGTGGATGATATTTCGCCACCAGAGATTTAAAAATTGTGATTGTTTAATAGGCATGACGAATGATGGCGTTCACATGTACATAATGGTGTACTGGGTGAGGATGGTGGCAACTTGTTGATTGCAATGGTTTGCTACGGTTATAAATGAGCCAGGAATTATTGTTAAAACTTTTGTTTTGATAAGCTGAGAATTATGAGATATTATACCAGATGCAAATCCCTGTAATATTTAAAGACAAAAGGAAAACATAAACTATATAGGATCCCTACCTAATACATGCCCACCCTAATAATACTATATTGTACTTATATGACAGAGATACATCAAGCATATCTCAAATCAACATTTAGATTGTGACAGCATCAATTGCCATCTCTAATCAAAGAACATTTTTTTTCCAGTATCATCGTTTTCTGCTCCTTCCCCCCTTTAACTTTCTTTTAGTCATAGTATACGGAGCTTTTGAGCCTCAAATGTTCACATTCTTGCTTCAATCTACTTCCCCTTTCCCTAAATTGTTCTCCACTTCTCCTTATTCCTGTTGCCATTCCGTACTCTTTGAAGATATCTACAATTAATGGTTAGCGCATTCCTCTTGCATAAGAGCACACCATATATTTTCATTTTCTCCCAATCATAATCCATACTACTGAAATTATTTCTTTGTTTCAAACTTCCTGCTGTTCAAATGAATACTGCTCAACTGCCCTTACGAGGATCCATGATAATGGGTTGAAGAGGGTACCCAACCTCTCCATGACAATCAAAAACTCTCCCCCCTCATTTATACTATAAGAAAAATCTGCACCTAAAACTTCAGTTGAATAATTCTTGTATCTATCCAACCGTTCACCACCTGGCTATCCATCCCTTCTTCTTACTTGATAGTGCTATGCCACACAGTGTTTCCCTTACCACCTTCTCCCCATTATCTCCTTAGGCTTTCTTTGTCATCTTCCTAGTGTTAGAACTGATGCATGTTGCTGAGAAAGACGAAACCTCAGTCCTGTTTGCAAACCATCCTTAAAGGTCTCGGAAGGTTTTCCATCTGAATGCTGCCCATGATCAACTGATTCTTGCTTCAGTGAATTGTAGATCTCCTGGAGGGCTTTCCATTAATGAACTTTAGGTACACTCTATACTATAGCAACCTTTAGCTCATTCCAACGATTGCAAAATCACATGAACACTGATCAGTCTCTGTAATGCCTCAAATTCTAGCAATCCGTTGTGTTACTAAAAATAAGTTCCTTAACGTAACGTTCAGGAAAATGTCAAAGTTTGGCGTACTTAATAAGGGAATTTTGTCAATATAAACTTAGAAAATTATGGAAAAATGATTCAGGCTTTGAGAATATTTCAGCAAGCTGGTGCAGTGGTGCTGTATTTTCAGGATGAGTTGCAAAAAATATTTTGATTTAGCAAACGTCTACTGAAAATTATGAAATTTTTACAGAGAGCATGGAACTCATATACATACAACATATCAAAAATTGGGATCCCGCCAATGATATTTGAGGCACTCAAACATTTTTCAAAGATGTTCAAACTATATTACTGGTTATAGCTCCACACAATTAAAAAAAAAATGATGATAATAAATTCTACGAGCCTCCAATCAATATGGTTTCAATTCTAGATGATGGATAACTCATAAAAGGGTCATTTCTCAATTTGGAATCATCCTAAAATTTGAAGTATACAGTCTGCAGTGAATTTTTAAAGGTCAGAATGCTGGAAAAGTTTTAGATTGAAGGTTCTAAAATTTCTACTGAACTTACTCAGTAAGAAAACATGTCCAAGCATAATTAAGGGTCATGAGACTCAATTATTTTGAATTGAGACTCAATTATTTTGAATATAATATGGCCAGAAGATAACATGTCCCAACCTTATAAATGATAAAGGTATTCAAAAGAGAATTTCATTTTATATAAAGTACATAACACGCCCAACAAATAAATATAACTTTATAAAATCCTGATGTCACTAATATTTAAGGTACTTTCTGAAACGAATCCATGGTCCAATAGCACACCAATCCTTCCTCCACCTTCCAATACGTTAATTATCACCTGAAATTTATTAATTAGGAGGGATGACTATAGCGAATTATACCCAATGAGATGTTTGCTACTCCACTATCAATTCAAATATGCAATAAAAAATTCTCTTACCAACATAAACTTAGAATTACCACACCATGAAAATGTTAATTCAAGCATGTTTACTGCAAAATGACATGAAAGCTGAACTGTAACCTGAAGGCACAAGTCTGAAACTGTCTCGTGATTTCTCCATAAGTAGCATTGAATTTAAGTAATCAAATTCACATATAATAACAAAATTGGGAAGACGTGGAAAATCCACTTATAGCACATAGCACCTTACCTCAATCTTTAAATAATTTTCTGCTTGAAGAATAAATTCAGATTCACGCACTTCCTTATAACAACCTGACACTTTTAAAGATCTCTATCCATTTTCTTTATAAAACAGTAAAGTTTTTGTGCTTATACGTGTGCATTATTTGTGAAATTTAAAAGACGAACACATAGAATTTGGGGAATCTTGAGAGAGTAAACATACACACACTTAAAAGTTAGTTGAGTTCTAAGGGAAATTGGTATTTGTTTTCAAATATGATTGGTGTCAAAGATGAATCATAGTCAATTAAAATTATAATATTTTAATCACCTAAAACTACTAACCTAACAATATTTTGACTGCACATTAAACCCAATTGAAGTGATTAATTCCTTCAAATATTAAATTCAATCTTATGCATCTCTCTCTCTCTCTCTCTCTCTCTCTCTCTCTCTATATATATATATATATATATATAGAGAGAGAGAGAGAGAGAGAGAGAGAGAGAGAGAGAGAGAGAGAGAGAGAGAGAGAGTATGATGGCTGACTTTTGGATGCATATTAGTGGGGATGGTCTATGAATTATATGGGTTGGGGTTTAACATTAGGATTTGAATTCTCTACATAATTCAACTATTTAAAAGTCTCAAAACCACTTCTATTTGCCAGCATAGAAGAATCCATTTCTCATCACATGAAGGACCCAATATTGGTTAATTAGAAAATGTCTCATCCCCATTTCATCATAAACAAACACGAGTTTCTTTGGACTGCGATATCTTGGGTCTAACTTGACCAAATAAACTTTTTCTCTAGCCCAATAGATGTAATTTAAACTAGCTTAAAAATGAGCCTAAATAAATTTTTGATTTCAAAACTTATTTTAACTTTAGTCCTTCAACATCTTAAAAGTATAAAAAATACCCAAATCATAAGCATTACCATCTGGCGATCTTATCATCTCTAAATAATCTTGATCTGTCACATACTCGTCACATTTGCAATCTAGTCTCTATGCACTTTTTGCATTTAAGGCCCAATCTCGATTCTAAGCTTTAAAACCCACTATTTTCCATTAGTTATCCTTACAATATTCTTAGGACTTCAAATTATGTTTCTTAAAACTTTCTCTCACATTTTTCGCTTTAGTCCTCAAGTTTTCTATAATTTGCTAAATTACCTAAACTCAACTTTTCACAAGCAATAATTTCTAAATATTAATTTTTGCACTCTCATAATATTTTCTTAAATAATGGGATAATTTTGCTAATTTGCACTTGGGTTCCCGAACTTTCTAAATATATGCTAATAGGCCCAAAAGTTTCTTAAGTTGATTATGTATCATACTATGGGGTTTTACAGTCTCAGCTCAAACTGTTCACCTGATTTTGGAACCCGAACACTATAGCTCTTTTAGAGAATTTGCAATTCCATAAAACCAAATCATCCCATCAGTTTTCTACCCTCCCAATGCGTATTTCTCAAATGCCCATTCTTCTCTTCCTTCTTCAGGTTTGACCAGGTTGAGGCATGGAGCAATTGCTGCCCCACCCAGATCATCTCCTTTCTAACTAAAAGAAGTTTAGGAACTATTTATAAGTGGTTTAAATTATAATTATAAGGCAGAATGGTGGATAATACTTGTTGGTCCTCCGAAATGTGTGGATAAAAATTGGTTTGATTAATATTAAACTTTAGCCAAACACGGGCTAATTTGTTCTCTCTTTGTAGACTTTCTCACCTCTCAAATGTATCGAATCTCTGCCGAGGTTGTGTTTCCCTGTCCTAAGAGCTTAAAAGTCTTGCAAAACCTAAACACAATCTTTTACATCACTCCACTACCAACATACTCCTTGCTAAACTTAGAGGATTCATAATATATTGTGATGGTGTGTGACTTCACCTGGATTCAGAGATTTGCTTCAAGATGAAATCATATGGATGGGGGGTTTTCATGAAGGGGGGAAAAATCCTTTCCACAGAGAATCATCTTTCACTTCACGAATCACATATCCCCAACTTTCAAATTCTGAAACTTACAGGGTTAATTACTTGGCCAAACTTTTACTGAGGCACTTAAAAATCCCACATTCCCTACTCGGCCTGTTAACCTGCAGATATACATGAATGCACTGGACAAAGGCACAAATCCATGAGCTGATTGCTTAATTTGTTTTCAGAAACATGAGATGCCATTTTATTGTGGCTTTAAGTTAAAAACTTCTCTGATCTCTTATTATATGCTGTGCATTTTCTCTCTTCAGTAATTAAAAATATTTATGCCAGGTGGCATTGACTCATGGACCAGAGAATGTCAAGCCCCAAGTGAAACAGACTGACAAAATTGGGAAATTTTGCTTTGAGGTATGTTCATTTACATCCAATTGATTTTCAATGTTTCTGGAATATATTCCTTGTGGCTTTAGACTACTAAATCAACTGATACTTGGACTATGAATTTATATGTATAATCCAAATGTTTTTAGTCGTTCAACATGAATGCCACAATACTTTTTGCACCAATAGAAACGTCCTTTAAAAATAAGGATCTAATCCGAAACCCAGCCTCTTCTAATTAGAAGCATGATCATTACATGCATTCAATATGCTGATCGTTGTTTCAAATATACTTGTTAATCTATTAGACTGCATGAGATAGAAAATGACACCTCAACTGATCTTTCTTATAGATACCGACTGTTGAACTTTAACATGCATGCAATTTTGTATGCATTTAATTTATAATTTCTGAAATCTAGCTATTCCACAAATTTTAGAAGGGTAAAAGCCTTTGCTTTTGAGCCGGTATACGGTTTGAAACCAAAAAGTAACCAATAGAAAATCCATGGGGAAAAATGTTCAGGTTTTCTGTTTCTATTTGACATTTATTTCATCTTCACGATATGCAAGTTTAGTTCTCCAAACTATTAGGTGCTTGTTTGGTAGGGATTTTGTTAATTGATTTTTTGACCATTAGAGATAAAATGGGTCCTACTTGTGAGAGAAGAATTCAAAAATGACGGCCGGAATAGTGAAATAGCGGTCAAAAAAAAAATCCAGACCAAACATGCTCTAGGTATGTTTTCGTTTTATCGGTTTGTAATAGCTTGTATGAGGCATTGCTGGGTTTCTATAAATTACCATCACTTTCTGATATTTGAACACATAAGATAAAGTTCGATTGCTTTCTCATTTGCATAGCATAGCATAGCATTTCATTTCAATAGCTTGTTAATTCTCCTTTATGTACAAAAGTTGCATCACTTTGAGATATTAATCCTCCTTAGGTTCCACCGGGCGAATATCGCTTATCTGCTTTTCCAGCAACACCTGATACTGCTCCAGAACTTATGTTCTCTCCACCTCACATTGATGTCTCAGTCAACAGCCCTTTACTAGGCGTCAAATTTTATCAGGTGAGAGTTTACAAACTTAAGAAGAACTAAAGAATGCTTTTATTTCTTTATATCTGATATTATATCTGCTTTTAAATGGTCGAAAATTATATTTTCTTTATGATCTGTCTTGTTATACATTATTACGAGGCTTATTAAAGCAGCTATTGCTCCACCTTATATTTGTTATTAGCAAATTTTTTGTCACTGAATCCTGATAACTCCTCCTCTTATATTTTCTTTATGTACTTAATTGAAATTATAGGCACAAGTAGATGTCCGTGGCTCAGTAGTCTGCAAGGAAACATGTGGTTCTTCTGTTTCAGTTATACTTCTAAGAAAGGATGGTATAAGTAAAGAAGAGATGACAGTTAGTTTGACTGATCAGAGTAGTGAATTTTCATTTTCCAATGTCCTTCCAGGGAAATACCGCATTGAGGTAATGCCACCAGCTTTTTTAATTCTTTCTACCTTTGAAACCTACTGCATGTGTCATGATAAATTTAGTATCTGCCTTGATGAAAATATTATCTTTGATTTTCTTAGTGCTTTTTCCATTGTTGCTTCTCATTTTAAGTTGTCAGCTGCTTACATTTAAGGTTATCTCCACTTTCTGAAAATGCTGCCCTGTTTTCTCCAGTAACAACATCCACCAACAATGACACAATTGCACATTTTCTCCCCTCTGATCAATTGTGGGTGTCATCTGATAGTGATTTAGCACAAAATTCTAGATAGAAGTCCACAGCACATGCCATACGGATTATCTGGTTATCCTTTATTAACTCGCCTATTCTCTTGATTTTCTCATTTTCCGTGATTCTTTTTGTTACATTTCTAGGTCAAAAGCTATTCCCCTGTAACCATGTCAGGAGATGATATATGGTGCTGGGAACATAGTTCTGTAGATGTGGATGTGGGTGCTGACAATATTGAAGGGATTACTTTTGTTCATAAAGGCTATTGGGTCAGTGTGACTTCCAGCCATGGCGTGGATGCTTACCTGAATCGGCCTGATGGTTCTCATGTGAATTTGAAAATTAAGGTTGGTGCCATCCTTTGAAATTGAAATTTTCTAATCTCTCCCTTTCTCTCTCTGTGTATGAAGCCCACATTTATAATTTTTATTTTCAAATTTCAGAAAGGTGCACAGCGCATTTGTCTGGAGTCTCCTGGTGTGCATGAACTCCACTTTGTAAACTCGTGTATTTCCTTTGGAAGCTCCTTGTTGAGAATTGATACATCTAATCCATCGGTAACTGTTTTCTGGTGTTAGTTGGACATGTATGTCTTTTTGTATTTTCTTTTCCTATTAGTTTCATTTTGTTTCTTGTTTCTGCAGCCCATTTATTTGAAAGGAGAGAAATATCTCCTCAGCGGACGTATTAATGTTGATACTAATTCATTGGGTGGTGATGAGAATTTACCTGAGAATATACCCGTGGATATGTTAGACAATGAAGGAATTGTTCTTGATAGTGCCACTGCCAGACTTGTCTCCAGTGGAATTGATCAATCAACTGCTGTTATCTATGAATACTCAGTGTGGGCTAATTCTGGTGAAAAACTCATCTTTGTCCCTCGAGACATGCGGTATGTTTGTTGCAGTTTTGTCACTTGTTCTCAATGTCTAATCTGTTTTGTATTATTATAATTGGGAGGTAAACTCTCAAGGTAAGTTCATCATCTTGATTGTCCTTTGTAGCACTGACACTTCAATTAGGATAGCATGTCTTTATTGAACACGTGTCAATACCGACACTTCCAGAACTCTCTTCCATAAGCATTCTTCTTTTTTTATTAAAAATATTATATATTTTTAACTCAAAATTATTAGTAAATAACAAATAGGTACTTATATTTAAAAGATTTTATCAAGAAACATTAATGAGTATAAAACTAAATATATACTATATAATAATATTTTTAACTCAAAATTATTAGTAAATAACAAATAGGTACTTATATTTAAAAGATTTCATCAAGAAACATTAATGAGTATAAAACTAAATCTATACTATATAAATGAAGAATTTTAAAAAATTAAATCAATGTATCGGCAACTTTTCATGTCGATACTTTTTTGAAAATTCTCGTATTGGCATATCCGACACTTATCGTGTCGGATACACGTGTCCGTGTCCGTGCATCTCTATGCATTTTCATTAGATGGCCAGTTTTACATTTCAACTAGTAATCCAATAAATATTTTATAGGATAAGTTTTTAAATAGCTTGTGTTTCATATCTAAAAGTAGATAAAGGTTGTGTTTAAGTTAACAAGATATGTTAGTGCTGGTGAAATCAAGGACATCACAGCATGTGCCTCTACTGTTCAGTATTGACTTTATTGGCATGGCTGTCAGTAGCTATTAATAAGCTTAATCTTTAGGATGCTGAACTTTATTTAGGGTTGCCCTTTCAAGTTCTAAGAACAAGGGTATGATCTCCCTCTGTCGCCCTTTAATGTATCCATACGACTTTCTGTTTTAATTTTGATTTGAAGGGGTTGAGTTCATCCTTGATATAATCTCTATCTTTGTACAT